ATCTCACACAGATCCTGGTTGTAGTCAGAAAAAAGGAATCTTGGGAAGGGAATGCATTTTGGTTTCAGCTAAATGAGTGCAGTTCCAAGCCTTTCTGAGAAATGTGAGGTCCATATGTTGGGTCTCTCTTCTAATTTAACCCTAAGGAAGGGAAGTAAAGTTGGAAGCTAAAAATGAGGTAAAAGAGAAATTAATTTTAATTGCTATTGCTAGAGCCCTAGCTGTCTCTTCCTCAAGTCATAAAATTTCTAGGTGAACCAATAACATACAAGTTCAAAGGGTAGAAGCCCTCAGCTCGTGTGCGGAACAGTACCATGGCATCCATTGCAATAAGGGGAGATGTGTTCATGAGTGCTACTTCTAAGCATCCCTGAACCCAGAGCTCTCCTCATCCAAACTCAGCCAACAGAAAGGTGGAGACACTGTGGGATGTGAACTTAGAGAAGTAAGCTTCAAAGCAAAGATGGAGACAAAAGACTCACGGAGAGATGCTAAGCCCCAGTTCGGAGGAAATGACTGAATTTCAGTCGAACTTTGGAGGAAACTATTTTATTTGGAACAGAAAATGCTTCGTACTTTAAAGGAAACAAATTTTAAAGATTTTTTTTATGTGTGCGAGTATTTGCTTGTACGTATTTTTGTGCATCATGTGCATGCCTGGTACCTGGTGAGGCCAGAAGAGAGTATTGGATCCCCTGGAACTGGGGTTACGGATGGGTGTGAACTTTCATGTGAGTTCAGAAACCCAAATCTGGATGCCTTGGAAAAGCAGCAAGTGCTATAAACGGTGGAGCCATCTCTCCAGCCCCAGAAAACAGATTTTTAAAAGGACTTTATAAAGCAAGAAATGAAAGTGTTACATACAATACATATTAGTGAGCGTGACATGGACACTCTCTACACCCATAGAGCTAATTCATCACACATCTTGAGTCCAATTAATCTGAGTTAAAGATTTTAAGCATCTTAAAACAAAAATAAATAAAAGAAAGGAGTTGTTGGTAAATCTTGAAGGAAACAACAATAATTTTCCTGAAAAGATTTTCAAATTTCACCCCAAGACCCAAATTTCAAATTCCAAGCAGAAACTTGGAAACATCTGTGCTACAGTGACAGGTCAACGCAGCAGAATATTTTGTCTGGCATCTGCTCTGTTCAGTTCCCTTGGGAACTCCAGCTGCTTTTGGCTTCCCTTCTTCTGTGGATGGGCACATGGCAGCTGTGCAAGAAAGCTAAGGAGATGCTGACAGAGGTCACTCCCCCCAACAACAGCATCCGCTCCACCAAATCGGTCCACGAGGAGCAGGGATGAAACGAAACCATCTAAAAATCACTACAGGGAAATCGCAGTCGACTCCCAGTTATTTGACAAGGAATTCAACTGCTGTTTTTTTTTTTTTTTGTTTTGTTTTGTTTTTTTTTTTTTTTTTTTTTTACTTTGCTTTTAAAGAGGTTCTTTCTGAAGACGGTGTGTGTATGCTTGATCAGTCATGAGAAGAATCTTTTTCCATGACAAAGTTTGACAACAGCCAGGGCAGAGGGTTCCAAAACATGCATATATGTATATATATATATATATATATATATATATATATATATAATTTATATATGTGTATGTATGTATATATCAGCTGCATCTCATCTTAGGATCAGTTCCTCTTCATCCTTTTAAAAGTTAGACCATGTTATTTATTTTTTAAGTCAAAACCTGAAAGCTTGTATGTGTTTATTGAGTGCTGTGTGATGTTTCTGTGCATGTATACATACAGGGTATATCCCCTGATTCTTCATGATTTCTCTTTTTCAAGGGACTGGGGAGAGATGGGGGTCACTCTGTAATCCAAGCTGGCTCAAACTTACAGTGATTTTCTCTCCTCACCCTCCCAGGTTCTGGTTCTGGAATTACTGGGAAATGGCCCACTACATTCAGCTAAAAGCATATCCTTTAAAAAAAAAGGGGGGGGGTTATGTTGTGATGACAGTCTACCTTTGCTTGTTTAGAGGAGCAACTATGGTAAAGGCCAGCCCCTCCCCAGCCCACTTATGTCCCTGCCACTGCTCTAAATGAGCAGAGTTACACACACACACACACACACACACACACACACACACACACACACACACA